ATATATATATATATATATATATATATATAGATATATATATATATATATATATATATATATATATATATTTCATAACCAATTTTCTCTCAATAATCATTCATTATTTTCGATAATCAATTCTTTACTAGCATTAAATATTTTTAATTATCAAGCACTTATGTTCATGAACTACTGTAGCTCTAGTACCTCTTATATATTTATATATATATATATATATATATATATATATATTCATAAAAAAAATACTTAGAGGACCAAATACAACTCATAATACTTCCTTTAATCATCTGGTTATTACTCTATGAATAATAAATTAAAAAATCTTTTAATTTTATTGAATCATTAACCATAGATTCTAAATTTATTTATTTATTATAGTTTCTTGCTTGTCCGATTATATTCTTGAATTTTTATATTACAAAAATATATACCTCATATATTAAATCTTAATCATTCTCCACTATTTTAGTCCTAATCCTACTTAGAATTAAAATAATTTGATTAGTATATCCAATACAGCATTGATATTGGCAAGAATTTTGAGATTTATGAAGCCAGTGCCTTTGAAAGACAAGGAATTTTAGTATGAAAAGGACTCTTGTGAATATAGAAAACTTTATAAATTAGAGTTTCGTTATTATATATATATATATATATATATATATATAGTTGAAAAAATAAAAAAATTATTTTGGGTAATTTTAAGTTTCTCTCCAAGGTGTTTGATGAAGATGAGAGAATAAAATATATTTTTTATAAAAATTATTTTTGTCAAACTATTTTAATCTTATATTAACTGACTTGATATGTTTATTTAATTATTATTATGTGAGATTTATTTTGGTTCTGTAAGTATTCTCTCCCCAAGCTAAATGATATCAAAAGTGGAATGATTTGGTAATGAGAGATTCAACAAAAATAAATAACAAATATTAAAAAATAAAAAATTTGAAGTATATTCTCTTTAAGAGCTTTTGTACTGGGAGGTTCAACAAATATAAATAATGAATATAAGCCTTAAGTGTATTCTCTTTTAGTATGTATGAGCTCATGAAACACTCACAAAGAGAAATTATTGAGATTGATAAATATTTCAGTATTATTCCAACTAGTGTTTCAGATGACAATAAATTTTTGAAAAAAATCTAAAAATTAAAATTTTATTATTCAATTAATACCTATGTTTCTTTAAGTTTTGATATGAAGAAAGATTCCTAAGAATACTTTTTGTGCCAGTGAATTTATCCTTCCTGAGGGTATAAAAAATGATAAATTTAATTTAAGATTTATATGAGATATTATAAAAGAGATTTGTATGTGAGTTAGTTAAGAATATTTGTTTGTCTATATATATTTATATGTATATAAACAGAAAATATATAGAACGTAATACATATTTAAAATAATAAAAAAATACATGCAAATTATTTTCACTCTTTATATATGATTCATTAATTATGTTAATATTCATTTTTAATCTTCTTAGTATAATTATTCGTATTTGACTTAAATTGTTAATTAATTAGCTTCAAACTTGCTCCAGAAGCAGCATTAGCGTCAACGTTACGAACAGAGCTTCTACTCTATCATTGACTGTTTAACGTTCCACACGTGTCTCGATTGGTCTTTTCATGTGGGGTCCATGAATCTCTCCGCAAACGGGGCAGGTACAATAATGAGTGAGAATGTGGCATGTGCTGCGGCACTCACATTTTCTCTCCTCGATGTCAAAAAGACGACCGAGTTAAAAGGGGATTGCTCGGAAAGGAGACGAAGAAGAAGAAGAAGAAGAAGGAGAGAGAGAGAGAGAATGTGGGAATCGATATGCTTGACGCTGATGGCGACGGCGGGGAACAACATCGGCAAGGTTCTACAGAAGAAGGGTACCGTGATCCTCCCTCGCCTCTCCTTCAAGCTCAAGGTTCTAATCCTCCTCCGCAATCCCTAGTCGATTTAGATTCTTCACGCTATATTATTCCCGTTATGCCGCGATATCGAGAGCAATCGGTTAGGAAATGTCTCCGTTTCTTGATCTGGCTGTAAAAAACTATTTAAGATTTTCATTTCGTGTGGCGGTCATCGAAATGTTCTCTTCTTTTTCTTTTTCTCATCCCGTAGGTGGTAGGAGATGCAGCTAAGGATTGTCTTCGATCATGTTCATTTATGAATGGATTACATTTTTTAGTAAAATGTGAGATGTAATTAAGTATGGTCTAAATTGCTCTTATTGACTTGTAGGTGATCAGAGCGTATGTTTTGAACAAATTGTGGATTATAGGCTTTCTTATGGATATATGTGGCGCTGTCTTGATGCTGAGGGCATTGTCTCAAGCTCCAGTGAGTCACACTATATTGTCGAATTTCTTGATATAATGAATAAAACCTTTTTCATATGCTGTCTGATTCTTATATGTCGTGCCATTATGCATTTTTTAATTGAACCGGTTCCTTCAGTCTGCATGTATACATTGAAATGCAAGTGAATGAGCGCCTAAATTTTGATAAATCAGCACGACAGCACCTAAATATATTGACTATAGAGGACGCTCATACAAGAGAGAGAGTGAGAGAGAGAGAGAGAGAGAGGCTATTTTCAGATTGAGTAGTTTGGCCTTTAGCTGCTTCTCACATACCATTCTTTGGTTATTTTGTTCGAGAAATACATAATTCTTACTTAAATATATTGATTACAGGTAGTCACTTAGATTAGCGTCCTAGTGTAGGCCCCACAATCTGCCACATCCGTTGTGCATATTATTCATCGTGTACTATTCATTTGATTTCTTAAAGCAACTGGAGTCTCCTAATACTAATCCCACCATGCTTTGTTGCTTCTTTTATCTACCTTTGCTAGTTTAAGTCTAACATGCTTTATTTGCATTACCATGTGATGAAACTAATGTTTATTTAATTTTCTTGATTTGGTGTCTTTTTAGAAACGCTATTTCTTTTTATTGTTCTTATATGAAATTTATTAGTTCTTCACTCTCATGTAAACTGATTTGTGACTTATATTAATTGGTTTGCTTGCATGAAAACATTGGATTCACACACACACACATATAAATTTCTTTAGGACTTGCCTGTTGATTTAAGAGGCATATAATGAAGCATAGATTGCAAGATGTTGGATTTTTTCTACTTTATCTGTACAAAAATACTTGATACAATCATCTAAAGACATAAAAGATACTTATATTTCTTATATTCATTTTTGCAGGTTTCAGTAATACAACCAGTTTCTGGTTGTGGACTTGCTATACTTTGTGTCTTCTCTCATTTCTATCTCAAAGAAGTGATGAATGCTCTTGATTGGGTGGGGATTGCATTGGCTGGGGCTGGAACAATAGGTAATGTAAGTTTATAAGAATCTCCCTATTGATTAGTTATTATTCTACAACAACAATGACAAGAATTCGTAGGTTGGTTTTATTCTAATTTTTCATAGATAGATTTAATATGAGCTTGTTGTGATTCCATTTTTTTTCCTTCTAAGATTTGAAGAGCAAATGAAGCGAACCAAATAGAAACTCGGCAAACATTAAGAATAATTCATACACATAAGTTTTAATTTTAAAGGATCAGTGCTTTTCGTAATATCCTTTTTACAGATCTCAATGGCGGTAAAAGTTCCATGTAACTGACCCAAATAGTTGGGACTTATGGCTTTGTTGTTGTTGTCATTTTCGTAATCTTTGTCTTGTGTATAGGTTGTGTATAGGCTGCTATAGTACATATGTTATAGCTCCCAAACTCAGTACATATCGTTCACCAACACCTCAATGAGTGAAATTTAGTACATGGTTGGTAAAAATGAATTTTGCTGAAGAAAATTTGAAGGCATTACATTTATTATCTTCTAGGTTTAAGGTGGTTAAGGTGCTTCATTCGCTAACTAAATCAGAACTCATATTCTATGATGAGGGGTAATGAGCTCTGAAAGATGCCACGCTTGTTCTATCATGGAGAATAGTGGAGCTTTCGTGTTGCAGGGCATCTAATTAAGTTAATCTCCAAATCGTTAAAGTTAAAAATGGTGAAATCTAAATTAGTACCATTGTCAAAGTGGGCTGGAAGAAAAAAAATTAGACTAAATTTGGGAATGGTTAAGCTGACCCACCACCATAGCATTAAGACACCAAGATTAGTCGGTTTAGTTGAGGTTATATAGGGTCATAAATCAGTTGACAAGATTAACCTGAGTAATAAATATATCAGATCGGATTTAGGAAATTGGTCCAATTGAACTAAATTTACACCATAATCAGATTAAACATTAAGTATGTCCTTTTTGGACTAGCATGTCAATTGTATTATGTTCGAGCCTTAAGCTGGTCCAATTAGATCATTACTATGTTGATCATACAATAATATCATGTTTGGGTCAGTAAGTAGGTCAAATTATGTTGAAAATGGGTTAATCATGTCATAACTTGATTCAGTCTTACCTGTTCATAAAGTAGGTTACTTGGTTCTTTGAATTGGGCTGGTTGGTTTAGGCTTAATTTCTTGACATGATTGTTAAATGGATTGGGTCTGGCTTGGAGTTATGTTCTAATGAGTTTTGCTTGAGAGTTATGTTCTGATGTATGCATGCCAACCCAACACACAGTTGCTACAATCTAGCCCATCAACACCCTTAATTTAGATCATGTGATACAAATGGCATTTTGCTGTAAGAGGATATTGTTAATGATCACAAAGAAATTCTTGATATGAATGTAATTGCTAGTTGCTGTTTAACAAGGATATGGTACACATGAGGTAGCTTTTCTTTTTGATACATTCTTTTCTGTAGGTAGCTGTTCCTTGGACTTCTCCCTTGCATTGCTGTCCTATTCTTTAATTTGTTAACATGAAAATCAATGTTGGTTCATTAAGTTAATGATGTCAGAGTTTGTAAAGTTCACACACCCTTTCTGGACGTTCCTTTTCATCGTCCAATTTTGTTTCAGTGTGTTGAGTGCTGACTTGTTGTTATTGTTTTTCTGCTTTACTTGTGTTTTGCATTGCAAATCATCATCCTTTCCTCCATATTGAGTTTTCTTGCATGTAATTTTAATTTTTATTTACTTCTTGTGACTGTTTATGTTTGCTCTTAATACTGTTAGAACTACCTTGTAGCAGTATATGCAACCTAAGGAACTTCAAGTGGGTTCTCTGCTTTTCTAGTTGATCTTGACAGATTCAGGGCCTTTTGACATAGATGAGTGCACTGGTACTGTTAAGTATGTTTGCTTCAAGTCAGTTAAAAGACAACAAACTATGTGATGCAATGCAATAACATCATTGGTCTGTTCGTCACCACTAATTTGAACATGGTATAATTTTTTTTAAACTTTCGACTACTGCAGATTGACAACTCTAAGTATCATTTCTAATTTTAAAAAAAAAACTAACTGTGGGGATTGGGATTTTGACTTGTTTTACATCATTGCTGATGAACTTAATCTATTAAAACTAAAGTAATTGGGGCTTATGTTGCTGTGTGATTTATTTACTTGAAGCCTGTAGTTAAAATAGCAAATAATATTTGTTAATAGTTTCTGAGACCTGAATGCATACAATTTATTATAATTTTCATATTATTTATGTACTTTTATTTGCAATAAGTCATGTGTTTTGTATGTTTTGATTCATGATTCACATAATTTTCGGAGCCCTTTGTTTGCCAGCTGTGCTTCATGTATTGTAATTTTCGGAGCCTTTAGTAGACGACCAGGTACCAAAAGATGATTTCAGTGTGAGTTGTTTTATACAATGTTTTTGGTTTGTATTGTTGTTGCAGGAGTTGGTATTGGAGGGGATAAGCAAAATGGTTCGACAGTCTCTCTTTTCCACTTACCTTTGCTGGGCATCTCAGTTGCCTTGTTGTTTGTAGGTATCATGCTCTATTATGCATCATTGGTCTTGCATTACTAAAAGTTATCCATGTTCTTTCTTAAATTATCTTGTTTGTTTAGAGTCTGGTGATATTGGTGATACTGCTCTTACTACCAAGTGTTTGTTGGTTCAATTGGGTGTTATTTTCTGATGTTTATGACTTCAGCAATTACATGTTTTCTCACACTGGCATTCTTTGCAGCCTTGATTTGGCACTCTTATTTATTAAATATGAAACACAATGTTGGCTGTGGAATTTTAGACAAGTGGCAGTTCAATGGTGTCTACACCAAGATACATTCTTGCCCTTTTCTACCTATCTGAAGATGGTTCCGTAACTTTTTCTTGACATATATTTAGAAAGTATATCTTGTACGCCTTTCGCTTTACAGCATGGTTTCGATAAGTGCTAGTTCACTTCATATCCTTTATGTAGCATCATGGTGGCTTAGGCTTGGCAAGAAGAGGTGAAAAGAGTTCACAATTTTTGTAGTCATATTTTGGTGAAAGTTTCAGGATAGATATATGGTCTCATGCTATACATATCTATATCACGATAGCTATGTGTGTCATCGGCACACTATTATAGATAAAGTGAGAAAGTTCATAGATTGCTTTTCCTTTTTGTTTGTTAGGTCTGATCCATTAGTTAATCTACCTGCTGATGCTTCAGTATGATCTGCTACAAGGAGTGAATTAAACAATGATGTAGTGCTTTTGTTGTCATGGGTAGCTTCTAAATATCAGACTATATTTTTAATAAACTCTTGATGAGCTTCACATGCCAATTCAGGCTCTTCTGAACACATGGCTTCGCATCTACAAGAGTCGAAGGCAGGAGCAGGAGCTGGTATAATTCTCATTTTGCTATTAAAGTAATTGCTGTATTTCTTTTCTTTTTTTTCTTCCTTTTCCATTTGTCTTTGGATGTTCACTATGTCTGATGTCATAATTATAAATGCAGATGCATTCTGAAGTAATTGAGGAAATTATATATGGCTTGGAATCGGGCATTTTATTTGGGTGATTTTCTCTTGTCCTTTGGTATCCTGCTATTTTTTTAACATTGATTCTCCCTCTTTTTGCATTTTTTTTCTTTTTTTCTTACATGAATACGATATGTAGACAGTTTTGCTGTAAAGAATAAGAGAACTATTGCTTGTTGTTACGAAATTTGCAATATCCATGGCTGGGAGCCTTATGTATTGGCCATCCTCTGATAAAATTTGCAATTTTGCTTTAGAAAGTATTGGTTGACCTTTACATCTCAGAACCTTTTTTCACGTGTTCTTGAGTACTGTTTTCTTAATATGTTTTTGAGTATGTTGTTCTACAAAGAAGTTCCATAAATTCCAGTTCAACTTATAAAGTAATGATTTAATCTACATATCCATCCAATTATCCAACTGGTAATTAATAAGTTTTTCTATCTTTAATGTCAACCCTGATATTTTGTGCGAAAAGTTTGTATATAGAGTGGATTAACAGTTTTTTTAGCTTAGCTTTAAGAGAGAAATTAGCAAAGACTAATACAATGACTAAAATTCACAGGATGGCATCAGTAATATCAAAGATGGGTTTTATGTTTTCAGAGGAGGGCTTCTCAAAGATCATGGTACCAATATGCATTTCCATTAGCATCTGCTGTAGCGCTTCTGGGTTTGTTTATCAGGTGGTTACAAAATTAGATCCCCTCTTGGGGCAATAATTCATTTGTTTGTTCTAAATGCTTTCAGCTATGACAATTTGTTCAATTCTTGAGTTGTTTATACTTTATATCAGTTTGTTCCGCTTTGAACCCCTTCCTATTGTGTTAGGTTGAAAAGGTTCCAGGTTGGTAGTTATATAGACATCAGGACCGGAGATGAGTACAAGCGCCGGTTGACAAGAATCAACCCATGAACTGTATTTTTCTTTCATCTATAGCCTTGTGGGGTTCTTGTACGAAGAAAATACATAGAACCCAAAGCAGTCTCAGGCCAGTTCATATACGATGAAGAAATTGTTGTTTGCTCAGTTGATGCGAATGTAAGTAAAATTAATTATAAACTTGAGCTATGGAGACAAGCCTTAGAAACTAAAGGTTTTAGATATAGTAGTACTAAAACTGAATATATAAAATGCAATCTCAGTGATTTTAGGAATAGACAAGAGAATATAGTTAAGTTAGATGGATAAGAACTCCCCTTAAGTAAAAGCTTTATGTTTTTTGGATCAATTATTCAACAAGATGGAGAGATCGATAGTTAAAATGCCGAGGGTTGTCAGGAGTCTTGTGTGGTCATCGAATATATTTGAGATCAAAAGAAAAATTTTATAAGACAGTTGTGAGACCAATAATACTCTATGGATTTAAGATTGGGCAGTTAAGAAACAACATATACAAAAAGTTTGTGCTGCTAAGATGAGAATGTTGAAATGGATGTGTGGAGTTACTAGGAATGATAGGAAAAAAAATAATTTTATTCGTGAACAACTAGGTATCACTTCGATAGAGGATAAAATTAGATAAAATCATTTAAGCTAATATAAGTATGTGCTTAGGAGATCTCCAGATGCGGTAGTAATATTAATGTTAACTTTAATAGAAACTAAACATATGACTTTTTATAGATCTTAATGTTAGTGGTTAATGATTAATGTTAGTGGTACGATAAAAGATAGTGGAAGACCTAAAAAAACTTTAATAGAAACTATAAATAAAGATTTAGTAATCTAAACTAAACATATGACTTTTTACATATCTCAATAGCGATAAAAAAATCTATGTAATTGACCCCAAATAGTTGTGACTTACGGCTTTGTTGTTGTTGTTATATATTTTGTCATTCTTTAAGTAGGAAAAATTAGTTGCTTGATATATTTCAATGTCTAGCTTGCCATTTTCTTGCAACCAGCGATAATAAGGATGTGGGTCAAAGTTGTGTCTTCAAAGTTAATGACTCAATAGATCCCTGATGTCAATGTGTCCTTTTGGGTACCTTGTATATGTTTTGCACACTTCTAAAAGAAGATACACAATCGATTTCTTAATTTGCATGTTATCCATTTGGCATAGTGTAAATCAACTAACATCATCTGTAAAATGAAACCTCTCTTTATAGTTTCATTGGGTCACTATCTAATATATATGGATATGGATTTTGACAGACCCAAGGTCTGAAACATGGAAGGGCTATTGTGGTATCCACATGTGCGGCTGTGGCATCAATTATTACTGGTGTTCTGGCTGGTATGTTTGCTCTGGGTGAACATATGCCTTCTTCTCCCGTTGCTCGAGTGGCTCTTTCACTTGGATGGTAATGCCCACTAATTTTAGGCAGCTTATCTTTTACATGTTGTTTCTTGAATGACATTCTCAGTCTTATTTTTCTGTTGGAGGCTCTGGGTCTGAACATATGTTATCCACCTTGGACCTGAGCTTTCATTTATTATTAGCTGTTTCCATTGACAGTAAACCTGACATAACTCTGTAGAGTGCAGGTTCAGATGCAAAATTGTGCTATTCATTCCTCATCTTTGTTATGCTAGAGTCACATATGGAACTTCAGTTAGGTTGGCATTACTAACGATTCATCTCGGTCACGTTCTGATTTCGCTTGACGCTGCAGTGTTATGATGCCAACCTCTGCAGTGTGCAGAGTTTGGCATCTGAATCTGCATACTGCAACACACTGCACCGTGATGTACCTTTGGAGACCTATCCCCAAGCTTGATTTTGTATGAAGATCATGTAAATTGAGACCTGCATTTTGCTTATTGCAAATTCTTTTTGGGTTTAATGTCCATATTGTAGTTTGTGTTAGTATGTTTTCGGAATGATATAAACATGTTAAGATCTTGTTTTACTGTAAGCATATGATAATCGGGCTGCCTGATGCATGATGCTGAGTGGGCTTCTGAATTGTTTGCAGGATCTTTATCACTCTCGGGGTTATTCTTCTGGTGAGTTCAGCTCGATTGATGGCCCTGCTACCTAGGCCGTTGCGACGACATCTGAGAAGAAGCAACCTTGAGAATCACACTTTAAGAAGATCTGGTTCCTTACGTATTAAGGATCCTAGCCCAAGTGCAGTAATTCATGCATCGACGCTGCATCATCTGATAACATCTCCATCAAAAGAGAAAGCCTAGTGAAGTCATTAAACAAATAAGAAGTACATGTTGACCTTTTCTTTTATTTCTTGGACAACGGTCAGCTTGCTTTTAGACCCTGCGCTAACCTTGTCATCTTCCCTCCAATTCCCTATCGAGGGAAGTGAAGTCTTCTGGGCTTGCTTGTTTACCAGATCACGTGGTATATGTATAATTATTTTGTTGCTATCATATCCAATTTCTGTCTGTCCTTATTTTATAATGATCTTGTATATGCCATTTATGAGTCGCCTGCGAACACTCTAAAAACCAGAGTCACGGAAGCTGGATGCATTCTCGCGTGATCCTGTGTCTGAAAAGGTGACTTGTTTTAATTGTTGGCATTAATTTGATCAATATGAACAGAGCTTTAATCTCCACTTGTCCCTGTTCCGTAACATGTGTACAGAGATTTTAACGATGGATTGAAGCATCGCAGTATATGTTGCTTCCACTTCTTATCGGTACGTAATGCAACGTCTCATATTATTGTTGTTATTATTTTGATAGTGAGTTGGATGGATAAGATGGGAAGATGTGGAGGGGTTCGGTCCTACTCGAACTGGAAGCGAACTAGCGAGAGAGAGAGAGAGAGAGAGAGAGAGAGATGCTATTCGATATATATCGTCTTTCTTTGGCACTTTCGATCGGTTGGTGGGTGTTGATAGACATTATCTGCCCCAAGTCGATTTCCCATTCAGTAAGACTTCTTGATCGAGCTTTCATTTTATTCTTTATGTTTGTTGCTAGGGTCGGTTGTTCAAGTGGTGAGGATCTCCTGCTACTGATTGCCTTCGCTGGAGAAGCAATTTTCGTGTCTACTTGTGTGGGGAGATTATCTTGGTAATCTTGTCCTTTCTTGTTTGCATATTGTTAAGATATTAGAGTTTTATCATAAAAGAAAATAGACGATTCTAGAGGATCAACCTTCTAGTGTTTGTCAAAAGTTGAAATAATATTTCATAGATAAATGAAAAGAAATAGATACATCCATATTTATATAGTTTCATTATTGAGTCCATCAGTACTTAGATTTCTAATAAATAAATAAATTTTAAATATTTTTTATTTGATTGAATTAGATAAATTTAATAAAATATTATTCAAAACTCAGAATATATATATATATATATATATATATATATATATATATATATATATATGCAATCACAATGTTGTATGATTGGGTCATGATTGTATACTTGTGAGAACTTGATAACCTTTACCGTTCTCGGTATATCGTTCCTCTTTATTATAAAATGTTTTAGGTTTAGAAAATTCTTGACTTTGTTTACTTCACTACTTAAGATTGTTTTTGGTTTTGAGATACTTTTGCATTTAATATTGGAACGTTGATAGATGGGAAAAGCTCATGCAAACTAAACTTCATAGGCCGAATTTACTATGTTCTTGTAGCAGACAAGGATTAAGTTGTTCCCTGGAGGGTACACAGAATTTGACATTGGTGAAAGGAACTAATAAAAATAATGGACACAACAGTAAGAATTTGCTACAGGTAAAAGGATGGTAGATCGATTGCATACATGCATATCAAAAGAGATGGCACGTACATTTAGCTTACAATGCCACATCAATCGAATTTAGATATAGTTATATTGACAATACTCCTATGTATTAATCAATCGCAACCTATGTAGTTAGAACCAAGATCTGTCATTCCGAAGCGTACCGCCCGTATCGGGCGGTACGTACCGGTCCGACAGGTTACTGGTACGCGGACCGCCCGGTACCGCTACAGTACTATACTGTAGCACTGCTACAGTATAAAAAGTATAAAAGTATTCGGTACATCAAGGTGTATCGCTCGGTACGTCCTGATGTACCGCCCGGTATACCAGTACTGTACCGTACTGAGCTAGGGTCGAAACGTCGGTATGGTACGGTAGGCTTCCGGTACGCGGATCGCCTGTTACCGGTCCGGTACTGTAGCAGCACTGTAGCACTGCTACAGTGCTCGACACGCCTGAATATACCGCTCGGTACACCTGGGTGTACCGAGCGGTATACCGTACTGTACCGGTACCGAGCCCAGGTCGAAACTCCGGTACGGTACGGTATTGCGAACCTTGGTTAGAACCATGATATAATCCATAATTCTCCTATGGAAGTTTTCAGTATAGAGATAAAATGCCATGATCTACTCATCATCTCTACCGGCTGGTTCATATACATGATCTTAATGTGCATGCATGTCTTGCTAGTTCATATACATGATTTAATGTATACGCATCGTCTCCATACACTCAATACTTTTCATAAAAAAATTAAACCCATATTTCTTTCATGCATGTATTTTTTTCCCATTTGAGAAAAAAGAAATGAATAATTTTATTATACCAAAACATGCTTGGATGTAAATTCACTTTCTATACATAATAAATCTAACCATGTTTTTGAGTGTACTTACTACTGCTGTAGTGAGCCTTTCTGATGGCTTTAGTCCATGCTATTTTATTCCTGTCTACCATTTGCACCAGTATTTTCTTTTACACTGGGGTGACTGCAGGAGCCACGATTGCTGATGGGGGGATGCAGCAGCATTCGGAGTGCTGGTACACTGCAGAACAATCAACAAGCTGACATGTTCTGTGCTCGATTGGGCCAAATCTTATCATCTTTCATGGCAGAGGAGTTGTCTGGACGCCAACAGAGATCCAGAAATAAGAAGAATTGTACAGATGAATCAGCCTCTGTGCACGCACCTCAAAGCGGATGAAGGCAGGCAGCGATGTGTCGTCGTCGTCGCCACTGAGACGGACTTTTGTACTTGGCAGCCGTGAGCTGTCCTTTGGCTTGTTGCGATTGGCAGATCCATGGCGTCAAGGTTTGCTCCCATGTTAACTCTCTCTCCTTCAAGCTCTAAATAAATCTGATGCATCACGACGCAAAACTCAAAAATGAATTGCTAGTGGTCACTTGGCTACTTAAGCTTAGCTTGCTCATTGGTTTCAGAATTGTGTAATGTTCATCTCAGGAACATCAGGACTTCTTCATCCATCTGAAATCTTTGTGTGCAGATCATCCTACCTTAATGTATGATCTTTCCTGCAGTAAAGTGGAAGACCTCTGGTATGGCCACATCTTCATTGATGCTATTTTAGGTCTGTTTGTTTATGCTTATGCAGCCTATTTATCATAGTCAATATGCCTCTTGCTTTTCAAGAATTCTCTATGATATCTTAATGCATAAGAAGGACCAAATGATGCATGATAGATTTTGTGTCAAGCCTCCAATCCATGCTCATGCACAAAATGTGCAGATTGAAATGGATTTGATGCTATGCCAGACATGATGCAATTAGAGAATATAGATTCACAATTATGAGCACCAATACTTTTATTGGAAAGTCAAAGTGAGAGCAGTTCTTCAGTGAACAGCTCTTACAGCCAGAGGCTTCTCAGGCACAAACTGTCAAGCAAAGAATCACATGAATCAGTTCTTCATGGTGAGCTTGGAGCCTTGGAGTAACCTAGATGGGAAATCTCCCAGTTCTGTCGCGGAGCAACTTCTTTGTGCAAAGGAGTATATAGCTGCAATCCAAGTGAATGAACAAGATCAAAATTTGCCCAATCTTAGAGCCATAAACAATCAAATGCTAAAAGAACTCAAAACAAACTGCTGTTCATTTCTTCTATTTAGGATCATGTTCATTGTGGCATGGGCTTTCACATGTTCTAGGCAGCTTTATGTAGCTAGATACAAAAAATAAGGTTGAGAAAAGAAATGGACAGTTGACCTCCATTTTTGTAAGCAATTCATCTGCAGTTGAAGCAGAAAGCACTATATGTCTACAAGCTGGCTTTATAAAGCCTTCTTGCACGCCATTATCAAATAGTTCAAGCAAGGAGTTGTAATAGCCATCAACATTTAATAGGCCAACCTGCACAGACAGACAAAATCCTCACCATTACTCTTGTGGAAAATCAATAGCATTCCTTGCAAAAGATGTACACTCACTGGTTTGTCATGAATTCCAAGTTGTGACCATGTTGTCATCTCCATCACCTCCTCCATTGTTCCATACCCTCCTACAATGTCTGGGAACTTTAAGAGCATGGTAGCACAAGGCAATAGGAGCATCATACATGCATAAAGAAACTTGAGCAAAGATTTTATTGGTCATATACCATACCGGGAAGTGCGATAAATGCATCAGCTTGTTGAGCCATTAAAGCTTTTCGCTCATGCATGTCTGAAACAATTTTTACTTGCCCCACAGTCTCTCCAGATATCTGGAAACACAGAAAGAGAAATTGTTGTGCTGCCTATTCTAAACAGTGAATAATCCATAGATGATCAAAGTCTTTATTTTCCTCAAGATTTTCACTATTTTTGTCTACCAAAGAACCAGTCAGGACTTGCAATGTAGAAACAAGTGGAGCATAACTTTCTCCCCCATATTGCTATATTGGAAATATCTAACATGCATATTCTCTTCATGTTTACTTGTTAGAGATGGAAGGTCAAACCAATCAAGTGCCACCAAATTGCCCACAGAATCTTATAGATGGACCGTGAAGTTTTTGCCCATCCATATGAAGGCTTATAGCAGAATTATACATATGAAGGCTCATAAACTAAAATAAAAAAAAACTGCTAGGAAATTTAAATTTAGACCTCAGAGAAACTTATCCATGGCTGAGAGTCTGAGACCCCTCCTGGCTTCTGAACACTCCAAATTACATGCAAATCCACATACCATTATCGGTTTTACACATAATCTTGCCTCTGATTGCTATCACATTAATCTATGAAATTTATATACTCTGAAAGACTTGGGTATATCCAATTTAGGAGCTACAAAAACCCACAAGACATCTGAAACAAACAAGAAAAATAGAGAGGGGGGAAAAGGCTATTTGATAAGACATACCTCAAGGGGCATGAGAGCTTGAGGAATAACCCTGCATGTGTTCACAAGTAAATTGAAAGCATGAGCAGAGTATATGATAAACCATGCAGAGACTGTAGAGCAACCAGAAACATAAAGCTTACCCAAGAACATGGCAACCTCCATCATAAACTGCCCGTGAAATCAGACCCATCAATCCCACACTCCCACCACCATAAACTAAATCGATCCTTCTCCTCACCTGCAACACATAAAACAAGCTATAATCGATCTACAACAACAACAACAGATCCAAAGATCCTATTGTCATGAAACCAATAGAAAAAAAGGCAATCGACTCTCTTTGTTCCAATCCCTCCAAGATCGAATTTTGAAGCGATACAAGTTCCGAAAAGCTTGTGTCTCAGATGCAACAGAGGAGGAGGAGAAGGCTCAGCGAGAAGGAAGAAGAGGTATCGGCTATAGTGGAAGACCAACGCCGACGACCGCCGGACCTTTAACGAAGACAAGCCCTCAAAATTCGATTTCTTTGACGGCAAGGACCACCGAGGGCATACCAGTTCGCGACCCAGATCAAGAGCTGCATCGCTGAAGACTGTTCGGTTGCCAGAGTTGCTGCCGCAGAAGACGCAAATCCGCTTGAACTTGCTCCGGGTCTCGTCGCCCATCTCTGCCCTCCAATCTCACGGCGCGACCGAGAAGAACATAAGATGGGTATATATAGGGAGAAGGAGAGCGAATCAAGGCTCTACAGTCGCCGTCCTCCTTTGAACCAACCGGCATCAAGGATCCTCTGCGGCTCTCTGGTTTGTAGCCCAAAGCACCATCGAGAGGCCCAACAACTCTAACCCTTCTCCCATTTACCTCTCTGTTTTTACTCATCCTTCCTGCCTCTCTCGTAGCGCAGGAAAACAGGACAAAGTTCGGAAGGAAACACCGCCAAAAAGACGAAAGCTTTCCCATTTATCCATCAACAAAGCTCTCTCGTGGATGTGCGCAATGGACAATCCTCCGAGTTCTAGGCGAAAATAAAAGGCACATCTTTTCTTCTTGCTGTGAAAAATCTATCACATTTGAGGGGGAAAACTACGAGTCATATCGTCTTTTCTTGGGGGTTATGGAAGAGAGTAACAAGGTCAACTGGTGGACGTGGCCACAACTATGCGTGTAGCCACCAAGGAAATCCATATTATACTTGGGCTACCTAATCCTATGTGCTTAGTACTGTCAAAAGAACAACTCATGACATGATTTGAGCCTATTTAAAACAGCATGCGGCAGATCTTGGTTGTCAGCAACTCATGGTGGACAGAGATGAGAGGCAAAAGAGATGATTTAGCAAAGCATGCTTGTTGCGCATGCCCAAATACTTCAGAGAGAGAGAGAGAGAGAGAGAGAGAGAGAGAGGATTGGTGTTGCAGATGCAGGGTGATGTTAATTAATACCAGTGGAGAAACCAAGCCTGGAGCTAAAGTAATGGCATAGTTTCTTGTACAAATAGGCTGTGTCATGAGTTGTTGCAACTCTGACACTCATCTGATATTGGTTTCACTCTACAAGTCTCAACATTTAGGATTGCATTTAGCTGGGCTACTAGTTTTTTTTTGTTCTTTCTTTCTAGAGACTTGCAGTAATGGTTTGGTTATAAGAAGACATGATGTTCTCTCTGTGCTTTGATGACAATGTAAAACCTCCAAAGGCACTAAATTAGCATATATCACTCCTAAAGATTCAGAATTTATGTAGCATCATTTGAAGAGGAAAAAGAGTTGCAATTCAGAGATGGTTGAGATGTCTTGCATTCAGGCCTTTCTATTTGTTTTATCAGGCTTTTATGAAAATGGATCCCTTGCAGATCTCATCCTAATATGCATGGTAACAATACAGGCTTAACTTAATCATCATCTTCTGTCTACAGGAAAATATTGAGAACTACCATACTTGGTCTCTGGCATCATCCTGCATGGGGAGGGGATTACATCATTGCAGGGGGGGGGGGGGGGGGGGGAAGGGAGGGGAAAAAAACCCAAGGGGGGAAAAAAAAAAAGGAAAGGGGCCCCGGGCCGGGTCCTTCAAACCCTTTAATTGTTTTTCAACCCCTTTGGAAGCCCCCGGAAACCCCAAAAACCTGGTTAACCCCCTTTCCAAAAAACGGGGCCCTTCCCCTTTGAAACCCCCATTTGCCGGCTCCCCTTTTTTT